TCTTTTGTTTACCAAAGATGCAATCCACGCATAGTCCGACATCTACATTCTTTAGGTTCGGCAACTTTTCTTTTGACAAAAGTGTCTTCATCCCTTTCTCGCTCATATGGCCAAGCATTTGGTGCCATAGGTTTGATTTTCCATCAGCATATGCTACTGCAATGATATTCTCTAAATTTGAGGTTATATAGAGAGTACCAGTTTTCTTACCACGAGCAATGACGAGTGCTCCTTTAGTAATCTTCCATTCACAGCCTGAAAAGGTTGTGCTAAATCATTCACCATCAAGCTGTCCTACAGAAATCAAATTTCTTTTGAGGCTAGGAATATGTCTCACTCATTTCAGCGTCCAGGTGGTCTGGTTTGGCAACTTTAATCGGATGTCTCCTTTTCCGACGATCTTCAAGGTTTCATCATCGGCTAGATGAACCTTTCCAAAATCACCACTGACATAGTTTTCCATGATTTCTCGGCATGGGGTGGAGTGGAAAGATACCCCTGAATCCAAAATCCAGGATTCAATCAGACTGTTGACGCTTAGAATCATGGCATCACCTGTCTCCTCTGTCATGTTTGCAGATTCCTGTGTGCCGGTATCTTTCTTCAGTGCTCGACAATCCCTTTTAAAGTGACCCTTCTTGCCACAATTATAACATGTAAAATCTTTCTTTCCCGTTATTGATTTTCCCCATCTGGATTTCGATCTGCCACAATTTGAATTTCTTTCTGAAGTTCTCCCTCTGGACTCCGTGTGCAAGGCTGAGGAGGTTGATGCTTCACCCGATTCTCTCCGTCGAATTTCTTCGCTCAGTACCAGATCCCGAACATCGTCGAATTTCAATTTACTATTTCTCGACGAGCTGCTAACTGCTGTAACAGTAGCATTCAAACTGTCTGGTAGAGATGATAAGAGAATTAAAGCTCGAACTTCATCATCGAATTCAATTTCCACGGAACTCAACTGGGTTGTGATTGTGTTGAGTTCATTCAGGTGTTGAGCCACTGATGCCCCTTCCGTCATCCGCAAATTGAATAATCGCCTCATCAAATGAACTTTGTTTGAGGCCGATAGCTTCTCATACATACTGGAGAGAGCCGCCATAAGACCCGCCGTGGTCTTTTCCTTTGCTATGTTGAAAGCAACATTTCGGGACAACGTCAGTCGGATAACTCCGAGGGCTTGTCGGTCGAGAAGAGCCCAGTCTTCATTCTTCATGACCTCTGGTTGCTTTCCTAAGAGGGGTTGATATAGATTTTTCTGGTACAGAAAATCTTCGATCTGTATCTTCCAAAAACCAAAGTCCGCACCATCAAACTTTTCAATTTTCACATTCCCTTCGTCTACAGCCATCGCTCCCACTCGAATCTGGCTTATTCGGATCGTTTCTGACAATTTGTGCGAACCACCGTGTATTATAACACATCCGTCGACAAATTCGTATTGCTGACAAAATTTCACTATTCACGAAATTTACTATTCACGTGAATAGTAATGAATAGTAACCTCGCAAAAATTTGACAAAATTCACAACCCAAAAGCTCTGATTACCGGTTGTTGGGAAATAAACGAGTAACAAGTAATTTTCCTATAGCCAGATTAGTGAGAATACAAAATAAAAGCGGAAAAAATAATACCCGAAAAATTGATAACGGAGTTCAGTCAATTGTGCTTACGTCTCCGGACTGCTGCATATCTTTTACTAAAGAGAAAAAATTACAGGTGTTTACAAAACACACTTGAGAGAGAACTGGAAGATTTTGGGATGATTTAGAAGCTAAATGAGCTAGGGTATTTATAGTTGAAGCTTAAGGGCTAATCTTGTAAATACCCTAAAGTGTGTAGTGGCTAAAATATAATTAACCCTATTACATTTTAATTAAAAATTTGGGGCACCGAATTCGGTGCCCCTTTTGTTGAATATGTGCTATAATTTTCTTGATTTTCAACACCCCACCGAATTCTGACTTTTCCTCCAACACTGTAGCAATATTTAAGAAGCCTGATTCTAACGACTGCTATAATGGAAGGTCAAAGCAAGAGCCTCCACTCTGTCCCAACTCTGATGATCCAAATGCAGCCTGGTAATGTTTCTTATTAACTCTGCTATAAAACCAAAACTCTGGTTAAAAACAAATCTAACACTTCTTGTTAAAATGACAAGATCCATCGAGTGGCTTAACAAGATGCTAACTTGCATTCTTTGAGTTAGCTACTGAATTAAATTTTTAAATTTTATAGGAACGTGTCACTGAAAACATGCATGCACAAAGTGCCTGTAGATGCATCAAAACGTGGGTCTAAGTGGCCCGAGCAATGGCCGGCAAGATTGGAAAAATCACCTTATTGGTTGTTGAGTTCCCATGTTGGAGTTTATGGCAAAGCAGCACCTGAGGATTTTGCTTTAGACTATGAACACCGGAAAAGAGTGGTCCAATCATACAGAAAGAATATGGGAATAAACTGGTTATCTATTAGAAATGTCATGGACATGAAAGCTGTTTATGGAGGGTAAGAAAGTAAATATAAAGGTTTACTTTTTATTTTTAGGGTAAATTGTGTATTTAGTCATCCATATATTCTCGCGGTTCTATTTTGGTCACCCAACTATTTTTTTTTCAAATAAAATCTAACGTTACGTTTTAGTTCTGTTTTGGTCACCTGCCCTTAAAAAATTAACGGTGATGCTAATGTGTCATCATAAGGTAATATTACGTCATCATTAAAGAAATAAATAAAATTTATCATGTCAGCAGTTCTGTTTATTTTTTCACGGCTGGTGGTCAAAACGTAACGTTAAGTATGATTTTGAAAAGATAATAATTGGATAAACTAAATACTAGTTTATCCTTTTTTTTTTAATTAACGTTGAATATTCTTTTCCTTGATTCTGACATGCTCATAGATTTGCTGCGGCACTCAAAGATCTGAATTTGTGGGTAATGAATGTAGTCCCAATTCGCTCTCCTGATACCCTTCCTATAATATACGAGAGAGGTCTATTTGGTATGTATCATAATTGGTGTGAATCATTCAGCACCTATCCGAGGTCCTATGATCTTCTCCACTCTGACCACCTATTCTCCAAGCTTAAAAAGAGGTTTGTATGAACGTCTTCCTTTTTCTGATTCGATTAACATGAACGGAGTTAGGATTGAACTATGAGAGAATAAGTTGTTTCGATTTGATTTTGGAACTTGTAGGTGCAATATTGTGTCCGTGGTTGGCGAGGTCGATCGAATACTAAGGCCCGAAGGGATATTTATTGTTCGAGACAACTTTGAGACCATTAATGAGCTCGAGAGTATTTTAAGGTCTATGCAGTGGGAAGTGCTCACAACTTTCTCAAAGGACAAGGAGGGGCTGTTATGTGTCCAGAAATCAATGTGGCGACCCAAAGTGGTGGAGACGATCGCGTATGCCTTTGCTTAGTGGTACTTTCCTTTCAGATGACGATTGCCTCATTTATATGGCCAGGTGTTCTTTTTCTGTTTCAGTTAGTACCGTCTGAAAGTAATGGCGATTAGTTATCTATGTAAGCTCTTTAGCTTGTATGATGTTAGGCCTTTAATTTTGGATAACTTTTCTCTTTAACCTATAAGCATTTTGTCAAAGTTTTCATAAGCATCATTCTATTAGTTCTTAATGGAAAATGAATGCATTTCCATTGATTTTTTTTAGAAATGTTTAGTTAATTTATAGTTTGTAATTTATTTTTTTTTATATTTTTTTATCAATTGTATATAATTTAATATTATTAATAGTATAGTTATGCATCTAGAAATATAGCTATCCAAATGGTCATCTTGGAATCTAACGAAGAGGAGACTGTTATCTGCAGTGTTATTGTTAAGCAGTGGTCATTTGTTTTTTATTAGTCTAGAACGATTATAATTTATAAAGCAGTATCCGTTAAAAATATTCTTAATCAATTGATAATGTACTTACACCCTACAAACGCAACAAATATAGCTACTCGAACTCAAGGACCTAGTCTGATAGAAAATTATTTAAGGGGAGTTGTTCGTAATAGTAGAGGAGTTTGGAGCATTGATCAATTAATGTTGTTGAATTATGGGGTTGTTTCGTGGACTTTATTTGGTATTGCTAAAACTGATTCTTTATTCTCCATTAATTTTGTTAATAGTGTCGGAGGTAACCATCCTTCTTTTGGTTTGGTTAGGGGAATTCAAGAGTTTGTTTCCTCGGAAGTGCAAAAATTAAATGTTCATTTATTTCATTTTATGGGGTTGTTTCAATAAGTAGTTTTTGAAAGGGGTCGGAAATGCAACTTTTTCACTTAGCTAAAGGATATGAAGGCTTAAATTAAATGTTCAATGTTGATAAGGGACAAGAAGTAAACGTTACGTATTGACCAAGGGGACCAAGGGCAATGCCCTTCAACATATGCACGGATGCATGGATTTTTCATTCTAATTACGCACACGCACACAAATAGATTGAGAGGGGCAAGTGATACAGTATCTTGAAAATTTTAAATTATTTTATATTTTAAATTATTTTATATGTATTTTTTATTATAAATCTATTTCAATTTTTTAAAATTTTATAAATTCTTTTTTTATTATCCTTAATTAAGCATTCTTCGTGGTAAAGTGGTTAAAAAACTTAAGCATCAATCAATGCAAATCAAATTCTGATAATTACAAATAATTTTATACGCAATTAATTAATTATGTACGACTTTCTAACTATACACGAGTTTATTTTATCCCTATTTATTTAATTATTGTAGAAAAAAGGAAAATGTGATAGAGACTGAAAGACCATATTATTACCGTATTTTGCGGCAAAGATATGAAACCGTGGGATCAACGGCTTAGATCCAACGATCCACATCGAACGTACTTAAAAACAAATCTATCTAGTCCAACCGAAGATTAAAATATGGAAGTGTTAGCAGCAGAATATTTCCCTCCAAGATGCGGAATCCAATTACCCTACCGCTCAAGATATTGGTAAAATAAAAAGTCCAAAATTTTCTCCCCGTTAAAGCAAGATCCAGACTCTGTACAACTAGGAAACAAATTGAATTCATGAACCAGCGGAAGCTTCTTCTGAATGAAAGAGTCGAGGTAATGCTACTTCCTTTTAATTTTCCAAGTGTATTTTTTTCGGAATTTTCTTTATTTGTTGTTGTTGTTATTGTTTCCCCCTCGCTTTGCACCTCTTATTATTCTGTTTGGTTTCGTACTGAACATAATCGAGAGGAATTTGGTTCAAAGTCGAGATTAGTTTTATCTTATTGTTTTCCAAAATTTTCTGATCCACCTTTGGGTTGGCAATTTCTTTCTATTCATCCTGCATTTCCCCGGAAGCCAAACAGGAAACCTAACTGTTGTTTCTTTTGGAATTTTTTGTTTCTTAGCGAAATAGATTAGATGTTTTTTAACTACAAATTCAGGTTTCGAATTTAAATTGATTTTCCCGCATTTTCTGAATAACCACGCGGGAGCTTATTTTCTCTGGAAAAATTAGTAATTCCAAAATTATTTGTAGTTTTCTTGTTAGATAAGGTTGTATTCGCATTAATTTCCTTCTGGGTATGATACTGGGGCCTAATTGGTAAACATAAATAAGAGTTTCTTTCTCTTTTATAAATAAAAATTATAAAATTCTTTAAATTCTTTTAGTAATGCCGTGGTGAAAGTATTTAATTACTTTGAATAAAGTGAATTCCAAAAACTTAAATTTAAAATCAAACTTCTTTTTAGCTTGGTTCTCCAAGTTCTTCACACTTTTCAAGCTAATTTTTTTTCTTTTGAAACTTTCCTTTGAAAGAGAAGGTTGTATCCAAGGTCCCAATATAAGCAGGACATGGAGAAGGTCCTGATGTAAGAAATCTTCCCCCTATTTTAAACAACAGGCTATCTGTAAAAGTTCACGTATTGAAATAATTGTTGCATTCTTTTTGTCACAATGTTGCATCTATTTGATTTCCTGCTGTATTCATACAAGTTTCATTGTGGACTGTTTTTAGGTTCGCCAGTTTGAGGAAGGGTTACGGGGATCTTGGCACCCTGGGGTGGTGGTTGGTATTTCACATTTATCCAGATCTATTGAATATGATGAACTCTTATATGAATCAGGTGATTCAAAGCTCATTGAGTCCATCCCTGTGATGGAGGCAATTGAAGGTCTCCATACCCGTCGCCATGTTCCATCAACCTATCGAGGGCATATACGACCTCTTCCTCCCTCATCTCAACCTCATTCTGACAAAAACTTGGGTTTTGGGGTTTGTGTTGATGCATTTTTTGAAGATGCATGGTGGGAAGGGGTTATTTTGGATAATGATGATAATGCATCTGAGCGGTCTGTGTATTTTCCCGATGAGAATGATGAGTGCAAGTTTAGTGTGAGTCAATTACGTGTAGCTCATGATTGGGATGAGTTTCTGGGCATTTGGAGAGACCGAGGTACATGGATATTGGTGGAATTAGCTAAGGAGCTTGAAGGTGATGTCCCCTTGGCTTGTTCTTTAAAGAAAGTTTGGTCCTCCTTACGTTTAAATTATGGGTTTGAAAAGATGATATCTGAGTGGACTTGTGGCGTTCGGTCTGTTTGGAGGAAGTACTTCATGGAAGTTGTTCAGGAGATTGCAGTTGGGTCAAGCCGGCGAAATCTTGCTAATCGCAAAATCTTGGCATGGATGGTGCGAAAGAAAAGTAAAAAATCTAAGGATCCTGGGAAGGAGAATTCCCATTTATCTGACACTTTTGCACAAGCAGAAAGCTGCATTGATTTCAAGAATGCTAGATCATGTCAAAAAGGAGAGAGAAAAGGTCCTCTTAGTAAGCACAAAAGAAGGAAACAATCTGTAATGTCGAAATCAAAACATGAGGAGCAATCTAATATGAATACATCTGCCAGTAAAAGTTTTCAGACAGATAAATCATGTGAAGAAAAGCAAATGATGGAATCTGGTAAACTTGATAGTGAAATAGACAAGCAAAAGTCTCCTATACCGGGTGAAAATGAGAGTAATAGACTATCTGTTGACAGCTCAAGAGGAAGTAAAGACATTTCTTTTTCTGTCTCTAATGTTCAAGCCAATCAATCAGTTTACAAGACTTCCACTAAGCATGGGCAGATTGCTGGTAATCATGCTGTCATTTTTACTGACTCTAGCAAAATTCAGGGGAGCTGGCCGGCATTCTTCTCTCTTATTCCTAAGAAGAGAAGATCTTCATTAATGAGAAAAAGGGTTTCAAAAAACCATCAGCGACCAAATTCAAAGGTTAAAAATGTATCGAGGTTGAAGAAGGAGAATAAAAACACATCTTTCCTTGTTTATAAAAATGGTTCAGTGATGAGAAGGTTTTCAAAGAAACCTAAGCAAGATGATTCAAAAGCTGAAGCCAACCCTAGGAAAGAGGAGAAAGGCGTAGATGTCATAAACATAGAGGATGATTTAGTTGATGATCATCATTGTTTGAGTCTTCCAGTTGATAATTGTGGGAAAAAGGTTAGGTTTAAAGACATGGTGTCTCGTTCTCGGAGGCGCAAGAGGAAGCGGAAACGTTGTGGTTCTCGACTGCGTGATACTATATGTAGTGTCTGTCACTATGGAGGAGATCTTATAAATTGTGATCACTGTCCATGCTCATATCATTTAAGCTGCATTGACCTCGAGGTTTGTTCTTATTCATATTTTTATTTTTATCACTTATAAAATTTGTTTACGGTTTATACTGATAAATAGTACATACATTTTTTATTCTTTTGGATGCTTGAATTCGCATGGCAATACAGTTAAATTAATGCTACTGTTTTTTGGTTTTTGATGTAAAATACAATCTTTTAGATCTGAAAAGCGTTATTGCAGTTGTGGACTATTGATTTCTGTTATTCTAGGAAGATTGTTGTAAGGTAGATGATTCAGTTGGTGGAAGAAAAAGAAAGCTTTCAGATAGAAACCTCATTGCGTGCTAGGAAAATAATCTGAAAAAGAACTAACAGACTTGGTAAAATTAATCTAGGGCTTATATAGTGACATTTGTTTATGTGTTTTTTGGTGTGAGGTAATAGGATATTTTACTGACTAATTAACCTTGGTTTTTAAGCATTGTTTAATGCCAACAGAGTCACAAGGGATTACTATACTTAGCAAGATATTGAACTTCATAAGGGCTTACTATACTTAGTAAGATATTGTCTCTTTTTAAATGTATATATATATACACACACACTCAACTGTCTCTTTTTTTGTTGTTACAGAAGATAAGATATTTAAATTGCTATTTTTTTAAAAAAAAATCCAAAACTATTCAAAACAGTAAAAACAATATTATGTATTAAGACTAAGATTGTGAAATGAATAATTTTCAAAATTTGAGATTTTATAGTTTTCAAACAATATCATTATATTCAATGCTTAATCTTGAGTTATATACTAAACAATATTGATAATACATATACAGTGCTTATAAAATTTGTAGTTCATTTTTCAGTATTTAAATTTTCAGTGTATAAATCACATCTAAGTCTACTCATAGGAGTCCAAAATAACGTAAGGAAAATAGCCCCAAAAGACACAAAACTCTTTTAGCAAAAAGATGCTATAGGGTGTAGTGTCATGTTGCATATATTCGATGCTTCCACACTGGTTTTTCCCCCACACTTCTTCAGAAAGACTCTTGGTTCCTGAAAGTTTTCTTCATTGTTGGCTTCTTAATTTGTTCATTTTTTAGTTAAAGACTCTTGGTTCCTGAAGGGATTGGCGGCTGCTACTGTGGATTTCTAAATGCCTTAATATTCGTCCTTACTTTGTGCTTTAAATAGGGCCGGTGGTTTATTTTGATGGACATTTGCTGATCTTTTAATTTCAGGATGTACCTAATGAAAAGTGGTTTTGTCCATCTTGCTGTTGTGGACTGTGTGGCTTGAGAAATTGCAAGGATGGTAGTGAACATTTTACAAAAGTTTGTCTCCAATGTACCCGCCAATGTGAGTTTGGTTCGTGAGAATTTTGTCATTTCTGTCTCCAAGTATTTAATAAATCATCTCTTTTTCATTGTAGATCATGTTGCTTGCCAAAATGAAGCTCAGTGTATGTCTCCCACAGACCATCCAGTTGGGAGTTTTTGTAGTGAGGCTTGTTATAAGGTATAATTCCCTTGTTGTGTCTGACCTCATTTAATAGTTTTGGGAGTTATTTTACCCTCCTGTGTCCTATACCCTTCTCTTTCTCATTTTCATGCTGTAGGTGGTTTATTCAATTGGGTTTGAAAATTTTGGTTCTCTTTATTCCAAAATTGAACGGTTTTAATCTTTGTTGAATTTGTTTGTCTGCTTTTTGAGAACATTGGATTGAGAGTGACATTCTGACATGTTTATGATACATGGCAACATATATATGCTTCAGTTATGTGCTCAACTTCATCAACTTTTGGGAATTTCAAATCCCACTACGGTAGATGGAATAAGCTGGACACTGATGAGATCATTGAAAGATGTTTATAAATTTCCTGACATGTCAAAATCTCACACATGGATTAAGCTGTCTGATGTACTAGGAGTTATCCATGAGTGTTTTGAACCTGCTGAGGATCCTCATACCAAGAGAGATTTGGTCAGAGATGTTGTTTACAATTCAAGGTAAGTTTTTTCTTTAATTATTATTTTTTAGATGGTTAGATAAATTAATACTTGGAAGACCTTATTGTATTTAAAAAAATGTTAAATCATTGGTGAATGACGTGAGAATTTATATCATTCTCTTATCCAGCCAGTTCCCCCTTCATTTTTTGAAATCATTCTCTTATTGTAGGAACGTTGGGGACTTTTGGTTATCATGATACTGATGTCATGATTTGTTTTTTTTATATCACCATAGTTTTCTGCATGTTGCCTTGCTATTTGCTAGATCAGATTTTAGCTTTACCAATATTTTCTACATGCTATTCATGCCAAAGTTTATTGATGGTCACAAAAAATGGGCACTATGCTCAGACGTGGATCTCTGCATCAACCTTTGTCTGTCAATCACCTGAGCCTAGAGTTTAGCTGATATGAGCCATGGGGATTTTCCCCAGACTTGATGTATGGACTTTGGAGGGATAATGAGTAGTTGAAATGCGACTGGTTATTTTTTTTAATTTACGTTGATGTTTCCTGGCTGATCAGTCTGCTGGTTAGAAGACCTTGCCACTTTGGTTGGCTATTCATTGTTGACCTGTTCACAGTGTTTTTCTCTGGGCCTTTTTTCCTTTTCAAATAAAAAGAGTTCTGTATAGTGTTTTCTTCACTTAATATGCTTCTCATTAGGATTGATGCTTCTAGAGTTAGGTTAATACAATTGCTTTAAGAGATTGGATATTCTCCTTTTGAGTTACTTTCTGTTCATTATTAGATGCCTTAAAACTATGTACAAGCAAAATTAAGAAGCGTAATCTTATTACTCAGTCATTTTAAAAAGCTGGATCTAAGATTAACTTCTAGCAACTGATTTTTATCTTCTCTTTCATATTCCCTGGTGAAGGTCCAAACTTAAGCGAGTAGATTTTCGTGGATTTTATGCCATGGTTCTCCATAACGGTCGTGAAATTTTATCAATAGCCACAGTGAGGTAGCTTTCTTATTTCCTTCTTCTGAGGATTGTCGAATTCAGTTACCAGAAATTTCATTTTCTTTTATATTTGATTTTCAGGATAAAAGGACTAAGGGTTGCAAAGAGGCCTTTAGTTTTCCTTTTATTTTTGAGGGTTTTGGAATTTGGTTACCATAAGCGTCTTTTCCTTTTATATTTGATTTTCAGGATATATGGACTAAAGGTTGCCGAGATGCCTCTAGTTGCTACACCTTTCCAATATCGTCGGCAGGGTATGTGTCGACTTCTCTTCCAGGAGTTGGAGAAGGTAATTTCTTTGGTTGTGCTCTTGTTACCATGCAAAAAGTTTCTCTCTTTTTAATTGTGCGCATGTTCATTTGCAGCTGCTCGTTCAAATTGGCGTTGAGAGATTAGTTTTGCCTGCAATACCTCAGCTTAGAGAAACATGGGAAAAGTCCTTTGGTTTCTTGGAAATGCCATTTTCTGAAAGGCTGCAATTCTTGGGCTATCCTTTCTTGGCCTTTCAGGGGACGACAATGTTACAGAAACTCCTTAGTAACTCTATTACTGATATAGGGATGAGAGGTACCAATGGTGCTTTCCTTATTACTGAGAAAAAACTGTATCCTTCAGTATTTATTACTGTCTTGATTTTCTTGTAGATTCTGCTGGAAAATCTTCTGATTTTGGAGGAAATGCGGCAAATAGCTTTAAGGTTACCTTTTATTATCTCTTCTTTGTCATTAGTATTTTGATATTTATTCCTGGTTATTAGATTCACAACCATGCTATGTGAGCACTTTATTCTGGATGTTGCTAAGTTAAGCTGTGTTGCATATGTGTGTATACAGACAAATCATTTGGTTTCAATTGCATGTTATTGATTTGTAAATCAGTTGTATCTATTTGCTTCTATTCTATTCTTTTTAACATTTATCACTTTTTTGTGTGCGGATAAGTAAAAAGATTTGGACCATTCTTGATTTGTGCATTTCCTCCTTACACCGGGACTATGCTAATTGCTTCTTTATCATTTCAAATTTATTGGAATGTCGGTGTCCCTTAGGGGGGCAAAATTTATCAAGTTCAGTGCTAACATTGGTCTTCTAGCTGTCTTGATTTCAGCAGCACAATCACTTGTTTCTTTTTTTTATCCAGAAGTTTTCATTCTAATCTTGTTTTAACGTTGTAGAATCAAATGCAAGGGTCTGGTAGCAAGGACATGTTCAACGGCTTGTTTTACGAGTGCAGACTGAAAGAAGACATTATTGGGAAAGAAAATTTTGTCAACAACTGTGGTGGACTAACGCAACTTTCCGGAAAATTGTGCAAAAGTAGACGAATACTGGCTACCTGAGATCGAGATACCAATGAATGGAAGTAATCAAAAACTCAGGTGATCATCTATCTATACTGCTTTCAGGAGAGTGCAGTTGAAATATTTTTTGTTGATTGCCCAACTGTGGCAGTAAATAGCAACTCTAACCTGTGGATTTTAGTCACCCTTTTTTGTTTATGCAACTAACATACAATTCTCACACAAATTCTTCCCGACTTGTTAAAGGTAGAACCCTGACCATGTGTTTATGACAACTTAGATTAAAAGATTTTTGAGTGAGCTAAGATTGAATGTTGTACCTAAAAATAAGACTCGACCAATTGTTTAAACACTTCTGTAGAATGTTGTTTGAACCATATCCACACTTCTTTAGCGTTATTAGAATTTTTTTACCGTTAATAATTTTGTTTGCATGAAATGATGCCTATTGTATGACCTTATGCACAATGGCTAATGCTAGGCTCTCTTATCTGCTATAGCCCTAAAGGAATCATTCAACATAAACCTATGTTGGCCATCTCTTTTGAGGAAAACAAACATTTATAAAGGGTACGTTTGATTTATGGAATACAAGATTACATCTTATAATAAGATTTGGAAGATTATTTAGCTCACTATTGAATATGTTACATTATCTTATTTGGTTCATTTGGTTGTAATGTAGGGTTTTAGTATTTGGTTGACGGAATACAATATCATCTAAAACTATATTTTATTAAATTGTCATCATTATATAATTTGTTTCATGTTTAACATATATAATGAAATAAATTGAATCAATTTTAGATGCCTTTGGCAATTAAATACGTTAAAAACTTATGTATGCTCTCCAATGAGAATTAGATTTCATCAATAGTAATGTTTGGATATTTGATTAGGGCATCAATTGCACTAAACTAGTTTCTTATTTTCATCTAGTTCATAAATGGATGGCAAATGGTATTTTATTTCTAATAAAATATATTTTTAATTTAAGGGGTAGAGTAATTTTTTAAAAAAATGAATATTATACTAAACACTGATTTACAGCGAATGACTATGATGCCCTTTTGATTGCTTTCCCCAACTTTGTACATCAACACCAACAATGGGCAAATGTTGCCTCGCTTATTTCATGATACTTCATTTTTTACTGTAGATTGGATCTTTATTAGATTTTACTTTGCATAAAGTAATTATTTTGAGAGGTGGATCGAATTTAATTTTTATTTTCTAATGGTGCATTTTCTAATGTAATATGATATCTAGAAATGTCGTATATCAGGGATCTCCTATGGGAAAGAGATGGAATTTATTCGGACGTTAAAATGTTTTTGGATCGGTGGGTATGCGACACACAGTATCGAAATTGATCTAATTTTACCAAAATGTTTGGAGTAATTAACATGCAACTATTCTAATTTAACCAAAGTCTTAAGTTTGAGTAATTGAGAATGTGACTTCATCTCATCAATTCTTCTTGGGCCGCGATTCTTTGATTCTCATATGTTGAGTTTCAGGCCCTGAGTTTTTCTGATCATCGTGTTGGTATTGCTTGGCTTAGTAGGGAAAATCCAGTTTCTAAGCCTAAGTCATTTAAATCTTTTAATTTTGGGTTAGCCACCCCGATTTCCTCAGTGTTGTTGATGAGTCTTGCAAGGAGCCTATCCACTGCAGTGATCCTTTGCATTGTTTGTTCCTTAAAAAGATTGAAAGGGAGTTTGAAAGCTTTGAATAAAACTCACTATGAAGACATTTCTATTCGGGTGAAATTGAAGAAAAATAGTTGGAAAAGCAACAAATGATGAATATGTATGGGAATTTTCCTATTGATGTTGTTCAATAGAAGACTTTGTTTGATGAGTTGTGTGAGCTGGAGAAGGCTGAAAGCCTGTTTTTTCAGGCAAAAAAAACGAAAGTTAAATGGCTACATGAGGGGGATCACTAGGTTTTTTCATTCTGTCGTTATGGCTAAGCAAAAAAAAAGCACATTGTTAGAGCTCTGCAAGATGAGTTTGGGAAAAAGTTGGATACTTTTGAGGGAATGACCACTAAGGTTACAAATTTTTTTATTAAGCTCATAGGCTTTAAGGATACCAACGTGCATAGATATGATGTGGATAAGCATGGGGGTATTCTTCAATATTCCTTACTTGATGGAGTTGTTGAGGTGTAGATCAGGGATGTCACTGATGTTGAAATTAAGACTGCTATTTTTGGCTAAGGGAATGATAAAGCCCCTGGTCATGATGACTATACTTCTCACTTTTTCAAGTTAGCTTGGACTGTTGTGGGGAATGATTTCACTACAAGGGTAAGGCGTTTATAGCTCAGGAGGTGGTAAAGAGTTTTTGTCCTATATCCTTTTGTGAATGAGAGATGTATTATGGACACCCTTCTAGCTCAGGAGGTGGTCAAGGGCTATGCGAGGAAGTCTATGTCCCTTAGAAATGCTCTTAAGGTAGACTTGCAAGAAGCATTTGATTCTTTGGATTAAGATTTTATCCTTAATGTATTGGAGGTTATGGGGTTGCTTGGTGTTTTTAGGGAACGGATTGTTGTTTCTCTAACTTCTTCTAGGTTTTCCATTTCCTTGAAACGCTGGTTGAGTATTTCAAGGGGGCTAGGAGCATTAGGCAAGGGAATCCTCTTTCCCTTTACCTAAATGTCCTAGCTATGAATGTGCTTTCCAGGGTCTTAAATTTGGTTGCTATAAAAGGGATATTTGAATTCCACCCATAATGTAAAATGATAGACCTCACTCATCTTTACTTTGTAGACGATCTATTGAGTTTTTGCAAGGTCAATTTAGAGTCTTTGGGGTTCAATGTCTTTTAGGGGAGTTTTATGTGATGGTAGGCTTCATGCTAAATGTTGCAAAGAGTGAGTTATTCTCCTCTGGGGTTCTTGATAGTCAGCTGCAGGTTATTCATACACTCTAGTTTCAGACTTGGTTGCCTTTATGTTCGGTATATTGAGGTCCTTCTTGTGACTCATAAACTCATCGAGAAGGATTGTTTATCTTTATTAGAGAATATTAAGGCTAAGTTGGGAAATGGACTGGTAGGTTATTAAGCTATACAGGGAGGCTCCGGCTCATTATGTTTGTGATGGTTAGCATTGCCAATGCCAATTTCTAGTGCCACCATCTTTTTCTTCCCATGGTTGTGATTAAGAAGATGAATTAGTTGTGCATGAGATTCTTTTAGAAGGGTCAAGATGTTAGTGTTGTGGGGGGGAAATGTGGGGTGGTAGACGGTTTATTCTTTAAAAGCTTAGGGTCGTTTGAGCCTTAAAGATCTTTATTGTTGGAATAGAGCCTGTGTGATGTAGCTTATGAGAAACATGATTGCTTAAGAATGTTCCCTTTAGGTGGCCTAGGTATACTATTATGTGCTTTAGAGGCCGGATTTTTTGTAAGCTAATTGAAACAGTAATTCTAATTGGAGTCTTAGGAAACTTTTTAAGATGATGAAGGAGGTTGCTTCTATTTTTGCTTTAGCTTCGAGTATACACTATGTTAAAACTGGTTGGTTGTGGGGTGAGATCAAGAGGAAGGCTCCTCATGTGCCCTGGTAGAAGGTAATTTGGTTTCCTTTACATGTTTCTAAGCATTCGATCATGGCATGGTTATTCATCCTTGATAGATTTAGTACGAGGGAAAGGTTTTACGAATGAATATTATAGTTGAACCTATTTTTTCGAACTGCAATGTTGCTTTAGAAACTAGAGATCATATGTTTTTAAATGTTATTTTTCTCGTTGTGTTTGGAATGAGGTTTTGAGCTTATGTGGATTGAGGAGGGATGTTTTGGGCTGGGAATAGAAGCTTGCATGGGCTGATTCTCGTTTGAGTGAAAAATCTTTGTTGGTTCTTATTTTAAAACTTGTTTGCGTGCTCCTATATACAATAGGTTAAAACTACTTGGCTGTGGGGTGAGATCACGAGGAATGCTCCTCATGTGCCATGATAGAAGGTAATTTGGTTTCCTTTACATGTTCCTAAGCATTCGATCATTGCATGGTTAGCCATCCTTGATAGACTTAGTACAAGGGATAGGTTTTTGTGAATGAATATTTGTAGAATGAAATTTCTCAAAAAAAATTCTTCTTCTATTTCACATTACAATCAGAGTTTTACAGGGGAGTTTTTATAAAAGTATTTGTAAAGAGTTTAAGATGGATTAAGGATTGTATTATCTACCAATTGAGATTCTAGAGTTTGTGTTAAAGTATAAAACAAATATTTACATCTAACCATAACTTAGACTCCTCCTCAAGTTGGGGAATAAATGTTGTAAAGACCCAGCTTGGATGTGATCTTGTCGAAATTGATTCTTGGAAGTAACTTGGTTAAAATATCGGCTAGTTGATCTTTTGAAGAAACATAGTTGAGTCTTACGGTTCCACCATTCACCTTTTCTGCAATGAAGTGTCTATCGATCTTCATGTGCTTAGTTTTGTCATGTTATATTGGATTTTTAGCAATGCTTATAGCCAACTTGCTATCACTTTGAAGTTCAAAGTGGGTTTTGTTGCTAACTCATAACTCAGTTAAGAGTCGTTGTAACCAAATTTCTTCATAAATTCCAAGTGTCATTGCTCGATATTATGTTTCTACATTACTTCTAAAAACTACGGCTTGTTTCTGGCTTCTCCAAGTCACTAAATTTCCCCAAACAAACGAACAATAATCGATTGTTGATCTCCTATCTTTTAACTCTCCATCCCAACTTGAATCTGAAAAGATCTTGATTGTTCTATCTTCATGTTTTTTTTTTAAATTAACCCATAACCCGGTGTTATCTTAAAATACGATATACTGCTTCCAAATGTTCTTCTCTAGGATCATTCATGTACTGACTAACAATACTCACAGAGAATGCTATGTCTGGTCTAGTAAGTGACAAGTAGATGAGCTTGCTCACTAACCTTTGATATTATTATTTGTTTATTGGACTTCCATTTTCCTTTAACTTCATATTTGCTTCCATTGGAGTTTTCGAAGGTTTGCAATTTGTAATTCTAGTTTCAGAGAGTAAGTTCAGAATATACTTTCTCTGATTTATGACAATCCTTTCTTTTGATCTTGTCACTTCCATGCCCTTAAAATACCTTGAGGTCCCTAAGTCATTGGTTTCAAATTCTCTTACTAGCAATGTCTTCAAATTTTCGATTTCTTTGAAGTCATCACCAATGATGATGGTGTCATCAACGTAGACAATTAAGATTGTCCTTTTATTGTTTGAACAAGTCTTCACAAACAGAGTATGATCATATTGACATTGTTTATAGTTATCTTGTAAGAGTATCTTCGT